AAAGATTGATTTAATAGTTTTATTATTTTTATTAATATAAAAACGTTTTATTAATTCATTTCTTTAGACACAATTTTTGATAAATTTGTATTAAATCATAAAACACGGAATCCAGAAAAAAAGAAAAAACCTGGGAAAAAAATGAAATGTGTAATAAAATTGCAATGTTTTATTGTAAATTAATTGTTACATTTTCAATTGATTACATTTTAAAAGATTGATTAAATTGTTTTATCAGTTGTATTAATATAAAAAAGTTTTATTAATTCATTTCATTAGACACGGTATTTGATACATTTGTATTAAATCATAAAACATAGAATCCAGAAAAAAAGAAAAACGCTTAATGTACTCATGAAGTACCTTATGTATGAGATTTTAAAGATCAAATTCAGAATATACACCTTATTGATGATGCATATTATATACAGGAAATCAGGTGAACCCAGAACATGAACACAATTCTCTAAATTGCACAGTAAGTACTTTACTTCTAATGGTTTATAACTTTGCACATTGCATTCATATTCTGTGTTCATCTACTGTCCTGTACATAGTATGTTTTATTAATAAGATATATGCTGAATTTGATTCTCCAGTATCAACGTTTTAATACATTAAGCCATAAGTGTTTTCTTTACAATGGTTTTCTATGGGAAAACGCTGCCATATAAAATTCCATGTAATTGCCTAAATTGCATCTAGTGTTAATGAACACTACTCAAACACACAGGCTTTGTTTATAAAGTCTTTTTCATATTCTGTGTTCATCTACTGTCCTGTACATAGTATGTTTTATTAATAAGATGTATGCTGAATTTGATTCTCCAGTATCAACGTTTTAATACATTAAGCCATAAGTGTTTTCTTTACAATGGTTTTCTATGGGAAAACGATGCCATGTAAAATTCCATGTAATTGCCTAAATTGCATCTAGTGTTAATGAAAACTACTCAAACACACAAGCTTTGTTTATAAAGTCTTTTTATTTAATGGAGAAAATACCACAGAATCACCTAAGTGTAAAATTAACAATTTAACGACAAGTCTAAACCAACGCTTGCATTTTTCAAGATTACCAGCTGATTTTAGGAACGGAATAAACGAAACTAAATTAACTAGCCACTCCAGATACCTATTGTCCAAATGACATGTGACATAAAGTCTTTTTATTTAATGGAGAAAATACCACAGAATCACCTAAGTGTAAAATTAACAATTTAACGACAAGTCTAAACCAACGTTTGCATTTTTCAAGATTACCAGCTGATTTTAGGAACGGAATAAACAAAACTAAATTAACTAGCCACTCCGGATACCTATTATCCAAATGACATGTGACATAACAACACCATTTTAGTATAATTAAAGGAATTTTCCAAAAAAAAGGAGGTTTGTATGCGTCTGACAGTTCAGTAAGCTTTAAAGCTTAAAGTCAAAATGTCAGATAGCAGCACGGCTTCTCAACGCAGCGATTTGATTGGCTATTTGAGCTGTCAGTCATTTATCCGTCATGAGGTCAATTGAATGTGGAAATGCCAAAATCCCTTAAAATCTGACATGAATGGTGTCAAATATTGTTTATAACCCTCAAATAGTGCTAAAAGCTGTATATTTCAGGCTGAACAGCCAATGCACAAGTGCAGAGTAGAGCAAAAGCTGAATGCTAGCTTAGAATAAACACCAGGCAGCGGCTTTGCTGATTGGCTGCTGAATATGGAAGGCGGGACTTAGAGTCACCATATTTGGTGTTCCAATTTCTCTCATTCATTGCCGTTACTGGTGGTTTTATACAGTCTTTTGATAAAGATATTTTAATGATCTGTGAATCAGATGTGGCAGGTGGTTGGATGTCCAGGTGCGGGAAAGAGACTCTTGTTGGCTTTAATTATGTGATGAGTATGTGCTTGGGTGGAGAGCTCACTCAAATGAATATTCATATTGGTTTCATGAATATTAATGAGACGTTCCCAGAGATTTGCTTATAATAGTGAGAGTTGTTATAGTGAAGAGGCTTATGGCCATTTAGGGATATTTGGATGTCAAAATGGATGTTGGTGATACAAACAATAGGTTTCACAGCAGTTCTGCTGATTGTCTGGTGTAGCAACCAAACCTTGATAATTAGTGAGGACATGGCAGATCATTATAAAACTTATTAGCGTTGCTCATGAATATTAATAACATTTGGATTGTTGTGGACTGTAGGTCAATTATGAAGTTTTGTTCATTGATTTGAAAGGAAATATGATATATTGACTAATCTAGCTGATATACAGTCTATGTCTGTTCAATCACTCATCTGCCACAATGATTTACATTTATGGATTTTAACAGCAAATACTGACATATGCTTTTATTTGTCATGTAATTTGATCTAATAATGAGCACAGCATGTAATTTGATTAAATGTTTTTTTCATTGATTTACAGCCCTACTTAGTATAAGATATGATTACTGTAATATAAGTATAAATTAAAAAAACATATACAGTATATAATATATATAGTTTAAAAAAAAAGTAAAATACGATATTAGATAAAAGAATATTGTAAAATAAGTATAATATTTATTTTAAAAAAAATGAAAATTATAAGACATAATGATTTCTAATAGAAGTAAGATATAATATATTATGTGTGTTTACTATAAATGTTATATCTAATTATTATTATAAATATAAACATGATTTATACACACACACACACACACACACTATATGTTATTATTATATTATATTTAATAATAACATATTTAATAATAATATTATATTTTTTATTTTATATATTTAAAAAAAAACATACTGTATATAATACTGAGGACACAAATTTGTATAATGACATGGGTATTACAAGGAGAAGGTGACTTTTCAGGACATTACCCCATGTCCCCACTTTTCAAAACGCATATAAATCACACAGAATGGAGTGTATTGAAAATCTGAAATAGCACAAAGTTTCCTGTGAGGGGTAGGTTTAGGGGTAGGGTTGGTGTAGGGCAATAGCACATACAGTTTGTACAGTATAAAAACCATTACGCCTATGGGATGTCCCCACTTTTCACAAAAACAAACCTGTGTGTGTGTGTGTGTGTGTGTGTGTGTGTGCGCCACTTCAGCATTCAGCATCTGCTGTGATCATCTCTGGCGGTGTTTTAACTCCAGCTCTTATATGTTGGTCTCCAGTCATTCTCTCTGCTTTCACTCTTGTGTTGAAGGATATCTTGCTTCTAACTGGCCTTTCCACCTCAGACAGACAGCGAGGCGGCTCAGTAGGGTTCAGACCAGAGCCGTCACGTCCATGAGGATTGATTTAGCTGCTGGTGTTATAAGCAGCAGCACTGACACAAACTGATGTCTCTGGCGTCTCCCGTCTGTCGTCCTGCAGAAGGCCGGATCTGACCTTCAGTGTTACAGCAGCTGTCAATCACATGAGGCCCGTGGGCTGAACTGATTGACTCGACTGATGTGAAGGAAACACGCTCACGTCTGTAGCACCAGCACTTACACACCAGTGTTTTAATACATGGGTTTAGCAATAGTAATAGTGATGCTTAACTACTAATGTGACACATAATATCCAGCGCGTTTCGGTCTGTTTCAACTTGACTATAATAATAGTAATAGAATTATATAAAAAACTATTATTATTATTATTATTATTATTATTAATAAACCCAATACTTAATATTATTATTATTAACTAACTATTATTAACTAAAGCTATTTTTGTATTAAATATATTGTAATATAATTATAGGAATTATATTTAAAACAACAACAACAAAAACAAAAATAATTTATATATTTTTATGTATTATTATTATTATTATTAAAAAAAATATTAAACAAAATAAACAATGTTACAATTGTAATATTTAACAAATTGAGTATTTAAAGAAATAATATAATACTAATAATATAGTTTTTATCATAAAATAAAACTAAAACATAAAACATTTAAAATAGAAATATTTAAATTAAAAAATAAATAATATTAAAATAAATGTATTTCAGCTAGTTGCTGATGCAACATTTCTCATTTTTATTTAGTTTGTCTTGAACTGTGTGTGTTTGTGTTTGTGTGTGTTTGTGTGTGTGTGTGTGTGTGTGTTTGTGTGTGTGTGAATGACAAAAACACCCACAAAATGTTTTAATTAATTAATTTATGAAATAATTATTTAAATAAAATTAAAAGAAACATATGTTATATATAAATATATATTTTTAAAAAGCTAATAATAATGTTCTAAAATAAATAAATAAAAATTAACATAATATATTCATTTTAAAAGTTAATGAAAATGACAAAAACACCTGCAAAATTATTACCTAATTTAACTAAAATTAAAAGGAAAACAGAAAATATAAAAATACAAATAAAATAAAAATATGAATAGAATCTATAGTAGTATATCAATATCAATGGTCTAAAACTTACGATATGTTTAGATCAGTTTTATTTCGAAAGATTAAGACAATTCCCTCCTGAGTATAAATACTGTATTTGTTGCAGTGTGATATTTTAATCTAAATAACAGAGTTTTTGTATTAATTATAAGCGGCGTGTTAGTAATATCTTTGAAGTGTTTTGAGGAAGATTGTGCGAGTCCTCCGCTGCTGTTGTGATAATTTGATGATGTGTAAGTAGATTTGCAGCTGTGTAAACACTGAATTAAATCAGTCTGCCTGATGGGTAATTGTTTACCGTGATTATCACACTCACACATAGAGAGTTTGCTCTCTCTTCGTGCAATATTTGCATGTCGCTCTGTTAAAAATTCCCTCGCACATTTGCAGTTACCCTCTTAACCTCACAAAGCAATTATATAGTGTCACATATAGTTGGGATATATGTGTATATCCCATCATGCCCTGCTGGTGTGACCTCAAGGACCTCAAAGCTCATTTGCATGTGTGGTAAAAACAACCCAATGAAGCAATTAGGGCCGAAGGGACGGTTTGCTGCTGTAATGAAGGGAAACAGGCCTGATAGAGGAGGGGGCGTGGCCTGCGGAGTGAGAGGATGATTGGCGGCCGCTTGCAGCACAGTTACCATGACAACAGATCCTGAGTGCATCCAAGAGAAAAGTATTCATAAAGCCCATCAATGTAAGAGATAGAGTGGAAAAGACAGACTAACAAAGAGTAAGAAAAGAAATAGAATTATACTGATAGTCCCGCTTTGAACTCGCACGACTGGTTGAGCGGTTTGTTAATTCACACAGAATTTCACGTTCAGTGATGTAAATGACAGTAACACTGAACCGATCCTGGACTGTGATCTTTGTAAATTGTATTCTTGTAATATTTGAAGCTGTTTATGTTTAGTATTAATGCAGAAAGAGTCCCAGCAAAAATATAATATTATATATATATATATATTAGTGCTGTCAATCGATTAAAAAAATGAACTAATTAATCCCACATTTTTCTGAAATTAATCGCGATTAATCCCACCTAACATTAAAGTGACATGTTCTTAAATGTGACTCATATAAAATATATTACATGCATGCACAGTTTTAAGGCAGCTTTAATCGCCTTTTTGGTAACTTCATGACTTAACTGACCACGGCATTGCATGCACGTAGTTTATTTCGTGCTTTGATATGAAAGGACACAGGCTACAGCGCGCCGACGCCTTTGTTCGTGCAATTGAAGAGCACACGCTGCGAGCACAGGGCCGTATTCACGCTCGCTTGACTCACGCCTGGCGCTGAAGAGAAGCTGGAGCGTGTGTCTGAAACGTCTCCCGTTCTCAGTCGTTCTGCGACTGAATAAATGCACTTCTGGTCAAGAGAAAAAGTGACAGAAGCAGCAGTTGTGAGTGGGGTGGCCAACCCTAGCCCCGCCCCTGCGTTAATTGCGTTAAATATTTTTAAAGCATTAAACTGAAAAAATTTTTCGCATGCGTTAACACGCTAATATTGACACCACTAATATATATATATATATATTAAATACATACACTACATTTAGTAAAGACACATTAGTAAAGTACACTGCCATTCAAAAGTTTGGGATCAGACAGTAAGATTTTATGTTTTTTTAAAGAAGTTTCATATGCTCACCAAGGTTGCATTTATTTGATCAAAAATGCAGTAAAAACAGTAAAATTGTGAAATATTATTACAATTTAAAATAGCTGTTTTCATATGAATATATTGTAAAATATAATTTATTTCTTTGATCAAAGCTGAATTTTCAGCATCATTACTCTAGTCTTCAGTGTCACGTGATCCTTCAGAAATCATTCTAATATGCTGATTTGCTGAAAATTAATAAAAAAAGAAAGTAATACCTTTATTCAGCAAGGATGTGTATATTTGCTAAAAAGTAACAGTAAAGACTTTCTATTTTGAGGCTACTAAAGGTTTCTATTTTGAATAAATGCTGTTCTTTGTAATTCTATGTATGCGTTTAAAAAAACATTCACATTATTCACAAAAAAGGTGCCTTTTTCATCAGCTATTTTCATTGTACTATAAAGAGCAACTTAAACATTCTACTATAAACGTCTCCCTTTGTTTTGCATGGATGAAATAAGGTTTGGAGGGACATGAGTGTGATTAAATGATGACTGAATGTGTGGATGGACTGTGTCTTTAAATGTATAACATGTATATATGACCTTGATTCTGTGAATCGACTTTCACAAACAGGGGTTTTTCTGCCCGCTGCATCTTCGATTTTCTCTCTGTCTGTATGTATATGGTGAGGTGAGATTGTCACAGCGCAGGTCAGCGGTGAAACTCATTCAGCGCTGTATTAGAATGAGCCCTTCTCTGAAACTCATTGTTGGAAACCCATTACAAGCCTCAATGGTTTTTCTACTGTACAGACCGTATATTCTATTGCCCTTCACCAACCCTACCCCTAAACCTACCCCTCACAGGAAACTTAGTGCTATTTCAGATTTTCAATACACTCCATTCTGTGTGATTTATATGCGTTTTGAAAAGTGGGGACATGGGGTAATGTCCTGAAAAGTCACCTTCTCCTTGTAATACCTATGTCATACCCTTGTCATTATACAAATGTATGTCCTCATTTGTCACAAAAACGCGCACACACACACACACACACACACACACGCACACACACAATCACTCACAAACACACGCACACTCACACTCACACACACACACACTCACACACACACACACACATACACACACACACACTCACACACACACACACATACACACCCAGACACACACACTCACACGGTTGTGGTATGTGTGTGTGAGGAGTAATGAAGAGAGACTCTAGAGAAAGCAGGACTGAATGATAGTGTTGTGTGTTCAGACTGAATGTCATGAGAACATCTGCTTCAATCTGCAGTTTATTCTACTGAAGATCTGCCCACTTAAACTGACTGACATAGAAACTGACCAATCACAGCTCGTCTTTTATGTGACGTTTAGGGCTGAATCTAAAACTGATGAAACCACAATAATAGACCAGCATGCAACATGTCTGAAATAATGTAAAAACATTCCTCAGTTCTTGGAAAATGCAAATAGACCAACATTTGCTGTTTCTCTAGAAATGATAAATACATGCATAAACTTATTGGAATATGTTCCTTACATGCAGCGGTGTCTTCGTTTTAAAAAAAGATACTGAAGAGTTTTGTCATTCCAGTGACTTCGCTGCAAAAGTGTTTTTATCTGGTTTTCTTGTACAAGTATATGAACATTCTTAAAATAAGATACAGTTACTTTAGTTTAAGATATTAAAATTAAGATATTTTTATAGTTTATGCTTAAAACAAGAACAAATATTTTCTCTTTGAATTAGGCTTATTTTTCTGACCCCACTGGCTGATATTTGTTTTTTGTGCATAAATTAATTTGGATCATTTTTCATTTTATGTCTTTTGCATCTGCAGTAAATATATTGTGATTTAAAATTGTTTAGATATTTGTACTAGAAAGCAAGACAAAAATACTGAGGAAGAAAATCACTTTTTGCAATGTAATTCTTCCTCAAAAGCATAATTGTAGCTGCTTGGAAACTTGTAAATTTTTTAAATAATTTTATGTTTTTTTAATAAAGAATATATTTTAATATAAATATAATAATTTTTTTTCAATAATAATAATAATAATTATTATTATTATTAAATATATTAACCAAAATAAAGATATTACTATTGCAATATTTAGAAAAAAAGAAAGAAAAATAATATACTACTACTTCTAATGTTCATAATAATAATAATAATAATTACTATTATTATTATTATTATTATTATATAATATATAATTATAAATAAGTATAATTATTTTATAATTATTAAAATTGAAATGCTAATATTTATGGCTGTCTTCATTTCTTTATTTTCAAACATTTCACCATTCAGCTCTTTAAGCTTCTCTTTTGTTCATGCAGTGCATATATTTATTTTTTTTAAATCTCAGCCTTTATGATCTGATAATCACACGAAGCCATATTGCAGTTTGGTTTTATTTATAACACACCTAAACAAAAACTGAATTTAATACTGCTATGTAGTGCTGTCTAAATGAATCATCGCTGTTATTACTGCTAATATTAGTGTTTATGGTATCATTATGGCAGTGAGTTTTGCACCAGGTAAACGTACAAATATCGTTCCTGTCAATATCGTGCCAGTGCTTTAACGTAAGACAGATGATGTTTGGAAAACTGGACTCATTTAGCAGGTTTTTGTCCCTGAGGCTTCGCTGACGTGTGTCTAAACTCTCATTAGGGCGTTCAGGACTCGCCGCGGCCGTCTTTCAGCGGGTCACGCGGGGCACGTATGTCTGCGAGTGTGTGCCAGCTTCATAATCACAGACAGATTGTGATGGATCACCTCCAGAGCGTCACTGACACCAGACCCTGTGTGTGTGTGTTTTCTGTTAACAGCGGACGACAGATGCAGCTGTCTGCACGGAGGGACGTGTCTTCCTCACGGAGAGGGTTTCCGCTGCTTCTGTCCGCAGGGTTACGCAGGAGAGAGCTGCGAAATCGGTGAGCAAATCCAGAGTTTAAAGGAACAGTTCACCTAAAAATACAAATTTGCTAAAAGCTTATTCACCCTCAGGTCATCCAAGATTAGGATGAGTTAGTTTCTTCATCAGATTTGGAGAAATGTAGCATTGCATCAGTGTCTCAGCAATGGATGCTCTGCAGTGAATGGGTGCCGTCAGAATGAGAGTCCAAACAGCTGATAAAAACATCACAATAATCCACACCACTCCAGTCTATCAATTAACGTCTTGTGAAGCCAAAACATCTGTGTTTGTAAGAAACAAGTCAATCATTAAGACGTTTTTATCTTCAAACTGTTGTTTCCGGCTAAAATACGAGTCCATAATCCATAATAACTCTTCCTCCAGTGAAAAAGTGCATCTCCTGTTGTCTCTCACGTCATAATCCAGTCACATATTTGTTCAGAGCTGTTTTGGCTTGTAAACGCTGCTTGATCTGTGCAGATTTCTCTCCTGATTCAGACCAGACCACTTTTTCACTGGAGGAAGTGTTATTATTATGTAATATGGACTCGTATTTTAGTTAAAAATTTCTTAATGATGGATCTGTTTCTTACAAACACAGATGTTTTGTCTTCTCAAGACATTAACTGATGGACTGGAGTGGTGTGGATTACTTGTGGATTATTGTGATGTTTTTATCAGCTGTTTGGACTCTCATTCTGACGGCACCCATTCACTGCAGAGCATCCATTGCTGAGACACTGATGCATTGCTACATTTCTCCAAATCTGATGAAGAAACTAACTCATCCTAATCTTGGATGAGTACATTTTCAGCAAATTTTCATTTTTAGGTGAACTATTCCTTTAAAACCCTTGACAGAAATGTGTTTCTGCACACACTATAAGGATAGGATAAGTGGATGTGTAATTGTTGTTTACCCATGATAGTTTGTAGCAGGTCAAAGTGTCAGTAGGGAATTCATGAACCATCTGTGCTGTGTTTAATCTTGTACAGTCTGTCCATTTGCCAAGTGTAAAAAGAGAAGACTGTTCATAAAAAGTGTTTCTATCAATAATTTAAAATGGCAAAGCCTGCAGTTCATCTTAGCATCACAACACAAGCATGATTTCCCAGGTCTTGGAAAACTTTAAAATAGTGATTTATTTTTTTAGAACTGAAATTGCTTTTTGTATCGCTATAAATGATTTAAAAGTCCTCCAGTAGCCACTAATATCTGGAAACTTTATGAAATTGTGTAAACCAAAATGTCTGGGATTCCTTAATCTATTAAATCAAAAAGAGTAATTCACACCAAAAATGTCTAGAATATGATATTTTTTTCAGTCCTTTACCAGTAATTATGAAGAACTGGAAAGGCCGTTCAAAAATCATTAAACTTAGCTGTTACAAAAGAAAGTGTGGGTGTATAAATGTTGGAGATTCAGATTTTAAAATCATATTCTTGTTACTGAAATCTGCATTTATAATTAGAGGAAAATGTTCGAATATTATTATTATCATTTTATTTTTTATTTATATTTTTAAATGTTTAGGAGAAATGAAAATAGACACAAATTAAATCAAAAAGAGTAATTCACACCAAAAATGTCTAGAATATGATATTTTTTTCAGTCCTTTACCAGTAATTATGAAGAACTGGAAAGGCCGTTCAAAAATCATTAAACTTAGCTGTTACAAAAGAAAGTGTGGGTGTATAAATGTTGGAGATTCAGATTTTAAAATCATATTCTTGTTACTGAAATCTGCATTTATAATTAGAGGAAAATGTTCGAATATTATTATTATCATTTTATTTATATTTTTAAATGTTTAGGAGAAATGAAAATAGACACAAATGATCACCCAGTGCAGTGTAGTACATTTCAGTGTTATTTTTATACTATTATAGCAAGTATTAACGTTAAAAAAAAGAAGCTTTTTTTATTTTTTCAGTTTTCATTTTGATTTTAGTTTAAGGCTTAGTCATTTTATGTGCTTTTGTCTTTTTTCAGTTTTGAGGGTTTTTTATATTTCTATTTAGCTTTATTTTTATTTAAGTTTTAGTTGTTTTTTTTTTACTTATTTTGGTTAGTTGCCATGGCAACATTTCTACTTTTGATTTTTTTTTTCACTCTACTCTAATATTTTATTTGATGTAAATTACTGCAAACTATTTTTAATCATTTTAGTTGACAAAACCCCAGTAAGAGTTTCGAGCTTTAAAATGAACATGGAGCAGCTCAGATCATTTGACGAGAAATGCTTGCGTTTAAATTTTGATTACAGACTTTGGTATCTTTTCAAATCTGAGCACAGTTTGAGACATTGTTGAGATGTCTTCTGATGAGACACATGAGGCTCTTTTTCTCACCTGAGAAGCTGGAAACTTGATGTCGTTTCTTTCGAAAGCCTTTTCTCTGAATAAAGTCTCTGTGTTTAACAAATCCAGTTATTGAGAAGGATTCTGGCCCAGCTGTCATGTAGACAGAGGTCAATACTGAGGTCAGAGGTCAAGCAGTCCATCATGTGAGACACAAGGGTGGGCGTTTGGGGGTCAAAGGTCAGGGGAAGGCTGAGGGGTTTATGTTGACAGTGTGTTCTGAGACAGTATGAGATGAAGGCCAATGCTAATTCACTTTGTGCTTTTATTATGATTAAATGACATATCTAATTGCTTTAAATTAGCATGTTGGGTTGGTAACAAACGTTTCTAGTAGATATTTTAGTATAATAGTTCATCGTTCACCTTCATGGTTTTCTTTCTTCTGTGAAGCACAAAAGGAGATGACAGTGTCTGTCTGCATTCGCTCTCATTGTGTGGAAATGATGTCTCCTTTGTGTTCAGCAGAAGAAAGTAAATGATGAGTGTTTTGTTCGATCTCTCTGAGGACGTATATAATGTACATTTGCAGTATGATTTGTTTTCATGACTGAGATGTGAGCACCACATGTTAAACAGAGCAGTGACGGGGAAACTGGAGCTCACTTTCAGAGCGGCTCGCCGTGAAATCATCTGCATAATACATGAGCCGATTTAAATATTCATGAAGAGCAGAAGAACCTTGCCAGTTTGTGTAAAGAAAAAGTGTTTTTACTATCACAATTTTTAGTGGATAGTTTTTATGCCTTTTTTGTAGTTAGATTTTACTTTTGACTTTTTCTAATTTTGTAATTCTTTAATAATTCCTTTTTTTGCCTCAGTGGCTCATTAGATTCACATATGGTAGTAAAAATTACTGTATTACAGTAAAAATATCTGCAATACAGTGGATTTTAAATTGAATATAAAATCAATAAATTAGTCAAATATATAAATCAATTATTTTTTATTTAATAAAAATCAAAGGCAGTACAACAAATGCTCCCCTAAACATAAATACTTTATAATTAAAAATATAAATATATATGTATAATTATTTTTACACCTTGTGGAGAGATCCATAATTGTCATGAAAATAATGTCTGTAATTACTGAAAAACGTGATTTGAAAATCCACTTAATATTAAAGTGTCTTTGTTTTGCTGTATGTCATAATTTACATAAGTATAATAGTTAATTAATTTCAATTTACTTTTATGGTGAAATATGACCCAGATATGATCTTGAGAGGCTTCTTGAGGCTTCTTCATTTTCTTCCAGTCACATTTAAAGCCCCATGAAATAATGCGATGAACACGACGATCAAATCCGTAACGCATTAAGTTTCTTAAAACAGCCTGAGCTCCGAATACAGCCTTCCCATGATCCTCTGCTCGCCTGATATCCACTTAAAGCCTAAAACCTTCAAGAAGTTCATGAGCAGCAGTTTGGGACTTTGTGACTGACGCGTTACACAAACTTTTAAGGCTTTCCACTTTATCTTTTCAAGCTCCTCTGATGTCAACTTTTTTGCAAGCCTGACAAACGCAGAAGTGTTTGCTATATTGGGAAGCGTCTGCGTTAATGTCCTATAAACAGTCTCCAGATCTGCTGCTGAGTAATCCTGTATGGAGCTGTAAAGCGCTCACACAGGCCTGTGACAGACGTCTCTGCTGCTCTACATCACTGTCAACTCGCTTTAAAGGTGCCATAGAATGCATTGATACAATATTTTAAATTGTTCTCTGATATCTACATAGAAGGTATGTGGCTTAGGTAAGGGCAACAAATCTCCAGAAACAGTTTTACATGTCCATTTACAACCCTAGGATTTGTCCCTAGAATGAAATGGTCTGTTTTTACCTTAATTGGAAGGGTCATGAATAATAATGTTGAGCTCTGCTCTGATTGGCTGTTTCACAGTACGTCTCAATGTTGAGCTCTACTCTGATTGGCTGTTTCACAGTGCGTCTCAATGTTGAGCTCTACTCTGATTGGCTGTTTCACAGTGCAGCTCAATGTTGAGCTCTGCTCTGATTGGCTGTTTCACAGTGCAGCTCAATGTTGAGCTCTGCTCTGATTGGCTGTTTCACAGTGCGGCTCAATGTTGAGCTCTGCTCGAGCCGCTATTAATATGCGGGGCATTGAAATTGCTTTCGAATGCAGCTTTTTACTTTCACTTTCGAGATTTGCGATCGCACGTGCTCTGTGTAAACTACAGCGGCAGTACTTACCACACATTTTACAAGATCAGATGCTTGTCAGTGGTGCTCAGGATCTGTAAATCATTCGCCATCATCCTCAGTAATCTCTCCTTACTCTGTTTATGTGGTAAGTGAAATCTTATGTACTGTAATGTAACAGGCTACCGCTAGAAAGCAGCTAACCATGTCCCTTTAGTGGCTCGCGTTATTTTATTAGAATGCGCATTATTTGTTTTCCGTGCCTTTTGAATAAAGACACCAACCCATCCCTGCACAGCCTGGAACATTTATTTCCATGATCTGCCATTTTCACTATTATCCTCGCTTGTGATGATTCGGCTGTGCAGGTCCGGCTGGCGGCTGGCATCTAGAACATGGGCGGGTATATGCAAATGTTGGGGGCGTAACTATTAGTGATCCCGACTGTAACGTCACAGCGAGTGTTATGTTCTGATTCGACTATTTTTCAGTGGTCTTTTGCATGCACGAGATTTACATAAGGAGGAAACAATGGTTTTTGAGGCTCACGGTATTTCATTTCCATGTACAGAACAGTTATTATACAACTATGCCAAGGTAAATACAGTTTTCCATTCTATGGCACCTTTAACCGAGATATTACTGCTCTATGATCTACAGTCCTACAGCGTTCACCCAAAAATGATTCATTTACTCGCCCTCATGTTGCTCCAAACCTGCATGACTTGATTTCTTCAGTGGAAAATACACGCAGATGGTTTGACCTGCTCTTTTCCATGACCCTGATTGGACAGTGATTAATTCTGTTACACTCTAAAAACAACATAAAACAGTTTATTTGAAATGTGCTCTATATTCCAGTGTTGTTTTAGCATATTATTGTGGTTTTTGTTAATATTTTGAATTGAAGATTTTATTTTTATATTTTTTGTTTTCACTTTAGTTAAACGTTTAGTTATTTTGTGTTTTGGGCATTTTTATTAGTTTTTATTGCGGGATGTTCTGCTATTTATACTGCTTAATGCAAATAATGGCAGTTATCTGCACCTCAGTATTGTAGTACATTATAAAACAGTGCGCAGTAATAACGTATTGAGTGTAAATGATTATTTTAATTCAAATTATTAAATGGATTATTAAAACGATGTTTAACAGCTGTGTTTTGTAGTGTTGACTACCCCAGTCACATGTTTCCCCCTTTTTTTAACTTTTAAGTTTTCTTTTTTCCTTCAACTTTTTATCTGATTTTTATCTATTTATATTCTATTTTATTTCATCTTTATTTCAGTTACACTCTAAAAAAATATCTGTGAAAATAGGGCACAATATACTGTATAGTATAGGAATTTTTCTGTATTTATTTGTTTACAGGTTTTTTATCAGTATTTTGAATTTTACATTTCATTGCGTTGTGTTTTAGAGTTAAACAGAAATGTCCGTAAAATGAATGGATGATGTCATGTGTAATGAGCTGCCAGTACTTTTTCTGTTATTTTACGGATTTATTTTTTTACAGTGTGCCAAAAAGTTTTTTTTTTAATACTGTAGTTTTAGGTTACAATAACAACAAAATGGGTTTGTATATATTAATATACATATGTATGCAGATGTTTGCTGAAGTCAGCGTTTTTACAGACCCAAATAATTGTAACGTGTATAACTTATTTCTACTAGGGAACTTTGGGAGAATCATCTGAGAGCAAGTTAATATTTAAACAGAAGAGCTGAGAAGTAGTTTTGCTCTGGGACACAGAGAGACTCCTGAGTGATGCTTTCTGACTCTGTGATGACTGTTGTTCTTTCAGATGTTGATGACTGTCAGTCGAACCCCTGTGAGAACGGCGGCACCTGTATCGATAAAGAGGACTCGTTTGTGTGCCTCTGTTTGCCGAGTTACAGCGGAGACCGATGTGAGAGAGGTGAGACGCCCGAGCCTGAACATGAGCTCAGAAAACATCTGCAAACATCCCATCTGCAAACATGATCCTTTCCCGCAACACGACTCACATTCCACTCAAATTGAAGCGAGCTTTAAGATTTAAGCCGTTCCCTGCTGGGAAATGACTCTTAAACCAGCCTAAAGGTGCTGGACGTGATGCTTGTGGAGCAGCACACATGAAATATCTCTAGTATTAGTGAAATCAGTGGCTCTGTGATGGTCCTGAGGAGAAAAGGGGAGTGGCCCAGACCTTTTAGCCAATCAGAAACACTCTTTGCCTGTCAATCATTGTGATGTCTTCGGAGGTCTTCACCTTTAAGATGAAGGTTATCCTTGTTGCAAAGCTTAACTCACCAAGCTGGTTTCCGCTGGTCAGGCTGGTTTTAAAAGGGTTTTAGGCACTTTTTATCTGGTTAAGGTGGGAGATTTCGGAAACAACTTCACTACATAATTAAATTCTGTTTGTATGCCAAAGTTTTTATTTGCTAATATTACTTGCTTTACTGTGCATTATTTTACTTATTTACTAAATTAATAAATTGCTTATCCAGTCATTTCTTGCATATATTGCACATGCATATTTGCATTGCGTATGAAATATGCAATAATATGCATATTTGTATTGTGCAAAAAATTGTCAAATTAACATCTTGCACATATTGAATATTCACAATGTGCAAAAATCTGTCAAATTAATATATTGTACATATACAGTATGCAGTAATATTTTGCATATTGCGCATACATATTCGCATTGTGCAAAAATAAGTCTAATTAACATATTATGCATTGTGCTAAAATCTAATATATTGCAGATGCAATATTCGCTATTCGGTAATATCTTGCATATATCGCATATGCATATTTGCATTAAGCAAATGTCAGTCAAATTCATATACTGCATATGCTGTAAAGTCTTGCATTTATTGCATGCGCATATTTACATTGTGCAAATATCAGCCAAATTAATATAATGGCTATGCAGTATCTTCCATGAATTGCATAAGTATATTTGAATTGTGCAAAAATAAGTCAAATTAATGTATTGCATATGCAGCAATATCTTGCATATATTGCACATGCATACTCACATGCAAAAATCAGTCGTCAATATATTTCATATGCAATAATATCTTGCATATATTGCATATGCATATTCGCACTGTGCAAAAATCATTCAAATTAATATACCGCATATGCAATATCAGTCAAATAAAGTACAATAACAATATTAATGGAGTCAGCTAGTAATATTGGCAAGGAAAACAAGCTTTTGCGAGTTCTGCCAGGTCTTTTCATTCCTCTCATTAGTGTTTTACATTGTTTGTCAGTGTCTCAAAGGTGTGCTGTGCATGTTGACCGCTCTCTCTCTCTCTCTCTCTCTTTGTAACACATTGTGGCGTTCATCTCAGTGGTTTTGCAGACTCATGAGCATCGCTCACCCTCCTCTGCATCCCATGACGACAGCGACTCTAACGATGATGCATTACTGCTAATAATGCAGTTGGCTGATGGCACAGAACTGCTACACACGAGTGTGATGTCACAGCACTGTATCAGAGATGCATTATTGTGTGTGTATTTGGTAGATGCTCCATCATAGTTATGATGCTGTAGAGATTTAGATAGCGTCTGCAGCTGATGGACATTCGTTTCACAGTCCATTGGATGTTTGTGTTTAATCTGAGATGATTCCAATAGAGCGCAACAGTGACTGTTCAGCTGTCTTGCTCTGGAAGTATTTTTCATTTGCTTTCTGAATAAGCATTACTTAAAGTTTACAGAATTTACAGTAAAATAGATAAAAGAACAATTCAGAAAAATGTATATAACCAGAAAACACTTTCCTGTGCTGTTTTAGTCTTTATGTAAATTCTTGCATGGTTTACTAACTCTCAACTAACTTTACAGCAAAATTCGCAATCAAAAGTGAACATTAACGGATGCTACATAAAGCATCATATGACTTCAAAAGGCTCCCCAGCGTCCTTAAAAAAGTTCAGTTTGATCAAATTTAAGATTGTGGAAAATCTAAGATATCTTAAGTGGTTTAACAAAATTCTTACAAATTTGAACTTTAAAAGGTAATGATACATAGATGTGAGCCATAGACTTCACTACACCTTTTACTTTATGATCAAATTAATACATTGCATATGCAATAGGCAAGTTTATCAAATTAACATATTGCATATCCAATATTACCTTGCATATATCGCATGTGCATATTCACATTGTGCAAAAATCAGTCAAATGTAATATAGTGCAAATGGATGTCATGTAAAGCTAATAATGTTAGCAAAGAAAACCGTGATTGTGATTTACTGTTATGAATTAATTAATTACTTTATGGGGTTTATATTGTAATTCTGTATGTTATAAGAGTATTATGTATGTAAAAGTGCATATTTTATCTCCCTCACCTTTTTAAAAAGGCAGCTGGAATAATTAAGGCAAAGACATTTCAAAATAAGAGTCATGGCATATTTTGGGCTTTTTAATAATTAAAAGTCCTGCATTATGCATAAAATTGTTTTCTGGTTATTATTGGTATATTACAAACAATAAACTGTAGCTGGCATTTAATTCAGCATAAACTGTAGTAGCTTCTCTTCATCATACTATATTGTTGAACTCTTTTGAAATCATTGATTATTGTGTGTACACTGAAAAAAAATGACAAGTGAACATTTTTCACTCAGAAATTGCTAGTACATTTCACAAATAATTACAAAGAACCTGCAAGTAACACGCATGAAATTTTGAAGTAAAAAAAAATTGTGAATTTTACTAAAAAAAAAAAAATCTTTGTTTTATTTACAACTTTGAAAAATGGTTTTTTACAGTCTATGACACTATATATTTTTTAGTTTCATGTCTCTCATATCACTCCACACTCTTTTTCTTCTCGCATAATAAATCATTTACAGTCATATCAATGTTTCATATCTTATTTATTTTATTTCCTGTTTGCTGTTGATTGACCCTGCCTGTTTTGACCACTCTTATAAATAAAGCCTGCACTTGGATCCTCAACTCCGTTGTCAGGCCTCCACGTTGCACAGCCAGGGGAAGATTGTGCGTATGTGCATTTCCACCCCGTCTCCTCCCTGAAATCACCATATATGGAGCTTACAACGCCTAGTTTTAATAAGCACAACGTCATCTGCATATCATTTGCATGCATATTCCATCCACGTGACACCATTACACGGGTACAATACGTTAGGAAAATATGAGATATGTACTATAAATGCTTTTTGAGACATCACATTGCTATTCAAATTATATGCAATTCTGCCTATAGAGTAAACATATATTTTAGATTGTATATTTGAATGGAGATTGGCCTTATTTTTTGCAGTGTAAATAACTGCCTGACTCACCGTGTCAATAACAAAAAC